AACACTTTGTCTTTGGCCTTTATTTCTTCTGACTCCCATTCTCTCCCTTCATTTGCTATTCTTGCATTGAAGTCTCCTTCTATAATTACTGTTTTTCCTTCGTTTTTCTCAATCTCTTTGCTTAGGTATTCATAGTTTTCCTTTTTCTCATATTGCATATACACCGATGCTATCATGTATTTCCTCCCTCCGATCTTCATTTCTCCTGCTATTACCTCACTTATTCTTTCTTTCTTCCATTCAACCTTACTCATCCCTTTTCTCTCTCTTATCACCATTATTCCTCCCCCTATTTCTCTTCCTCTTCTTCCTTCCCTTCTCGAGTCTCTCCAATCTATGTTAGACCTTTTCAATTGCTTCTGCACCCCCGTTTCTGCCCCTCGCCTCTTCACCCAAGTTTCCGTTAGCCCTATTATATCAAATTCCCTAACATATTTCCAGTCGTTCCCTTTCTCTTTCTTCCCTCCTCTCTCTCTCTTCTTTCTCTATTGTTTTCAAAACCCTACCGCCCTTTTTCTACTATTTTTCCCTCCCTCTCGCTCCACAACCATTCTTCTTCCTTTGACTTTAACACGTTATGCCACATCTTTACCTTTACTTTTTATTTCTCTCGCTTTCTTTCTTACTTCTTCTCTTATCTTATTCTACTTTCACGTCCAGTCCCGATCTATATAGATCTTTTTCTGTCCTAGCTTCTTTTTCCTTTTCATGATTCCTTCTTTTTGTTCTCATGATGCGCATTTAATTTGTCATATCTTTTTTCCTCTTTCTCCCCGTTCCTCCCTCCTCGATGTCCCTCCTATTCTTCTCAGATTCACTATCTCCCCTTTCATTTCTAGTTCTTTCCTTAACCAATCCTCTGTCTCTCATCTTAACCACTCCTCTAAGTCTATCACAATTATATTGTTTATCCTGCTTTCGCTATCCTTTTTTCCTCTCATATACTCTATTTCATTCTTATTGCTTACTTCTGTTGCTCTTTGCTCCTCGTTTTCTCATTCCATACTTTCTTTTAGTTTCACGCACTCTTCTTTTAACTAATTCATCCTCTCTCCCCATTTTTCCTGCAGTTTCTTTTATCTAAGTTCTACTTTTTCCCTTTCTTCCTTCATCTCTTTTTTTCTTTGTTTTCTCTCTCTCTCTCTTGTTTTCTCCTGACTTTTCGTACTTCTTTCTCCCATCTTTTCTCTCTTCTTTTCCCCACTGCCTCCGTTCTTCCCATTTTCTCTATTATTTCTTTAAACATTTCTGTCCTTTCTCTCCTTTCTTCCTCCCTTGCCTCTCTTAATTCCCTTATCTCCGCCAGTATCTTTTACATTATATTTTCTGTCCCACTATTTTTTCCCACTTTTCTTATCGTGTTGTCCAACTCTTCTCTTTCTCCCCCCCCCCCCCCGTTTCACTCCTCTCTCTTTCGCTCTTGTATCTTTTTGCTTCTCTCATTTCTCTTCTAATATTCTCCGCTTTCTCTCCCCTTTCTCCGCTCTCTCTCCCCCTCACCCCCTTTACTTCTTCCTTCTTTTCCTCCTCTATACCTTTCTTATCCATCCTTTCATTCTTATCTCTCATTTTTCCTGCTGTCACAAACATTTCTTTCACTAATCCGTATGCCTTAATTCGCCTCTCTAATTCTGCGCGTGATCCCACCTTTATTTCCTATCTTACCTCTTCTCTCTCCGCCTTTATTTCTTACCGCCCCTCCTCTCTTCCTGCATTTCCCGCTTCCTGATTTTTTCTCTTAACCTCAACTTTTCTCTTTTCTTTTTTCCTCTCTCTGCTATTTCTACTTCTTCTCCAAACCTCTCTCTCTCTCTACTCCACTTTTCTTCCGCCTCCACGTTCTTTCCACCTTTATCTCTCCCCTCAAACACTTTTCCTCTTTAACTTTCTCACCAAAACTCGCACTCACAACCAAGACACGTTCACATCCTTCCACAAGTCGAAACCCACTCCACACACACGCACACACATATCTTAACCTAATTAACACTATTATCAAATAAGAATACCGGCACGTGAGCGCCTTATCATCCTAGTTACCGACTCATTAACAAAGACAATAAAATAAACTACCTGTGTCGGCCCGTGAAAGCCTGACACAGTACGTAAGTTGCGGATGCCAGAAAGAAAGGAAAAATGATCGAGAGAGAGAGAAAAGAAGCGTAGACCTGATTAACGGTGTCGAAGAAGCTTGCAGGCAGACACTTGATGCTCCTTGACGACTCGCTGGAAAACTCTGCAGGATCGGCAGCAATAAATCACTAAATGGGCGCAGCTCTCCGCACAACAACAATATTTCATACTAATAGGCTGATAAACAAAGGCTTCCGACTCTGCTGGTGGCGATGCGTGCTGTTGGTGGCGAGCTCTCTATCCTAATGAGTGGCGTTGACGAGTGACGACTGCGTGAGAGCCGCTCTCTCTCTCTCACACACCTTCTCCCATCACTCACTTTCCTAATTCGAGGCGCGCGACACTGCCGAACTCGGCTAATGCCGCGCGCCAATAGTCTAGCATTCTTAAGACGCACTCTCTCTCTCTCTCTCTCTCTAACCGGCTCGCACTGTAGTAGGGTGCGCTCTTCTCTCTCTTTCTTACTCGGGTACTGGCACTGAAAAACAAAAGCAGGCATCAGGCAATAAAGAATAAAAATGTGTCTGAAATAAAAAACCAGCCTACACTGTTACACAACTTCAAAGAACTACTTGAAAACGAGAAGCTGCGAATAGGCTGAGTGAATTGTAAAGTCCAGCTCTACATACCAACACAAACATGCTTCAAGAGTGCTCATGTCGTAGAGGACTGCAAAACCGATGTCGACCGCTCCAAGCAGTAGTTCAAGTGTAAACAGGACGAGTATAAGGCAGTAGACTGCCCAGCTGCGAAACAAACTGAAGGAGCACATACGAAGAATGATTAATGCGCTCTAAATCAACTACTATGCCCAAGACCTGCAGCTCTAACTGATAAAAGAAGATAAGGCCGATATCGTCATGATCAGCGAAAAGTTTCGTGACCTTAATGAGCTGAACTGGATAAAGAATTCCTCAGGTAGGAGTTTTTTCTGGGTATGCAGTCACCTACATATATATATATATATATATATATATATATATATATATATATATATATATATATATATATATATATATATACATAAGAATGACCAATCCAACCCAAAATTTCACAAGGAAAGAAGTGGCTAGCATGCAGTATATAGTAGCTATCTTCCATGTAACGAAGAAATTAGTGAATTCAAAAGATCCCTGGATGATATTGCCACCAGTACGAGGTCTTTCTGTCTACTAGTGGTTATCGGAGGAGACTTTAATGTATGGGCAGTGGATTAGAGAAGCGTGGAGACGAATGCCCGTGGACACGCATTTTTCGCAGCCTTTCGAGCTCGAGATAGACAATACAGGATCGACCCCAACCTACTTTAAAGTTGAAAAGTCATCTATACTGAATCTTACTAGATATTAGAGAGTTAGCGATTGGTACATGAGTAGCGACCATCAAGCTGTAACATACACGCTCTAGCTATCCAACAAAGCGACAGCCACTAGGCCAACAAAATACAAGCGGAGATAGGCACCAAGTACATTTGATCGAGAGTCGTTTCTCTGCTTTCTAGAAAAAACATCAGTAATAGAAACTGTCGCAGAAAAAACGCGTGTACTCACGCAAGTCCTGAAAACTGCATGGGATGCATCCATGGCCATGAAGAACAACTCAAGGAGCCGTCTATCAGTATATTGGTGGAATGAGGACATCGTTAGTCTTAGGCGTAAATATCTCACAGCCAAGAGACGCCATCAAAGATCACGGAACAAGCCTAACATTCCGGTTATGACAGAGAAATATGAATAACTGCAATCACTACTCAAAACTGCCAACAAAGCAGCTAAGAGACAGTATTGGCAAAACTTCTGCGAGAAAGTAGGAAACAACGGATCTATTATGCATAGATAGTGCGAGATGCCAGGCTATGGGAATAAAGAAGTGCTCTGAACCACTACAGAGTAGTTGGTACAGCGTGGTTACCTCATCCAATGCAGAGGAACGTAGGCTCTAGAGTCACCTATGTTCATAGGATAATAAGGCACCAGCCTATTTTAAATGCTTTTTTGCCCTTGTAGGTAAGCAAAGGATATTTGCTTGAGCCCAGACTCCCTCACCCGATATAAAGGAACGTCGATGTTGAAGTTGTGTCTATCCGGAGGATGACCAAACCATGCTGTTAGAAGAAGATGAAATGAACGACACCGGAAGATGACGAGGCTTATTTAGCCGAAGAAGATTGACGATAGAAGAAACCGACAAAGCCGACAAGCAATGAAGAAGACGAGGCTGATACAGCAGAATCTCCCTCCCCAAGCGAAGCAATGCCTAGCGGCGGTTTCCGCGGGGGATACAGGCAGGACAGATAGAGGTGGGAGTTTAGTAGGTATAACATACCTAAGAGAGCCTACACACGATGAGCCCAGTAGCGGTTATGGTGCACAAAGCATTCTTCAACTTTCTATAAAAAAACACATACATACATACATACAATAATTTACATGATACATATCGATTCAATTGTAAATCACATGAATGATCTGATTAGTCATAATGATTTATAAGTACTACGTAGAGGCTTCATGTTCGAGCAATCGAGCAAAAACGATTCATTAGTCACTATTAAAAATTTTTTTTTGAATACAAAAACATTTTCTACAAAATGTATTATAGAAACTCTTATGATAAGCGATATATGGGCAAATGGTTATCACTATTTTCAAAACTACTGGTTTTAAACTTTATGTTGTGATTATCTATTTCTGAAACGATGATTAGCTAAATGGGGTAGCTTATCTACCGAGCACTGTATAATATAATAAACAAGATTCCAATCTTTATAATACTATATAACTTTGGAAAAATTGACTAATATTCCACATATTTTATGATATTTTATTTAAAAAAATTGTACAGTCTTCAAAATTTGTCTTTTGCAGTTTTTGGCAAGGGTTTGTTACAATGTTTAACATGTTTACTGCCATTTTTGGAAAATGATCTAATAGAAAACTTGCCATATCTAGTAGCTAGTTCAATTGCTGTACTGCCAAAAGAACTCCATCAAGATATTGTTAATAACTTATGTTTTTATATTCTACCCTTCACCATAAGTAAGTATTGAAGTTTTATAATATATTTGTAACATTTTAAATATTCATCAGCTAAATAATTGCAGCTAGAAGAACACATGGCGAGTCTGAAAACTATGCTAGTCAATCAATATCTGCTGTTCTGATGATGATTTTAGAGTACTCCAGAAATTCAGGTAATGTATCATATCTTTATCCTTTCAATTTCAGTCATAATACATGTAAAACTTTTACCTCCTACACCATTATCAAAAATGGTAAGGGAGGTACGTCTACATACTCGTAACTACGAGGGTCGTTTGAAAAGTCCGTGCAAAAATAAAAACTGCTTGATTTTTTTTAATAAATCTTTTTTATTTTTCAACATAATCTCCTTTTAGGCTTATACACTTCATCTAACGCTGCTCTTGTTTGTTAATCCCTTCCATATAATAGGATTTATCCAAGTCTGTAAAATAGGTATTCGTTTCTGCAATCACCTCCTCGTTTGAATAAAATCTTTTCCCCGCCAGCCATTTTTTTATATTAGGGAACAAATAGTAGTCCGAGGGAGCCAAGTCTGGAGAATAGGGGGGAAGTGAAACGAGTTGGAACCCTATCTCCATCAGTTTTGCGGCCACAACTGCTGAGGCGTGAGCTGGCGCATTGTCGTGGTGGAAGAGGACTTTTTTGTGGGCCAATCGTGGACGTTTCTCTAGCAACTCGGTTTTCAAACGATCCAATAACGATGAATAATATTCGCCTGTAATGGTTTTACCCTTTTCCAGATAGTCGATGAAGATTATTCCTTGCGAATCCCAAAAGACAGTCGCCATAACCTTCCCGGCCGAAGGAATTGTCTTCGCCTTTTTCGGAGCAGATTCCCCCTTGGTAACCCATTGTTTAGACTGTTCTTTGGTCTCAGGAGTGTAGTGATGTATCCATGTTTCATCTACAGTGATGAAACGACGCTTAAAGTCTTGCGGATTTTGCTGGAACAGCTGCAAACCATTCTTGCAACACTTCACACGATCTCGTTTTTGGTCAATCGTGAGCATCGCGGCACCCATTTAGCGGATAGCTTTTTCATGTCCAAATGTTGTTGCAAAATATTATGTACCCATTCGCTCGAGATGCCTACAGTACTAGCAATCTCACGCACCTTCACTCTTCTGTCAGCCATCACCATATCATGGATTTTATCAATGATTTCTGAAGTGGTAACCTCAACAGGGCGTCCAGAACGTTCAGCGTCTTTTGTGCTCATATGGCCACTCCGAAAATTTTGAAACCACTTATAAACCATTCTAATCGAAGGTGCATAATCACCATAATGTTTATCAAGCTTCTGTTTAATCTCCTGAGGCGTTTTGCCTTTGAAAAAGTAATGTTTAATCCATTCACGAAATTCTTTTTCGTCCATTTTTTTACAACCACTCGATTTCTTTGATTGAAACGAATGTAAAACGCAAAGTAATTGGACGATCTGGCTGAAACTTGGTGTATGCTCTTCCAAGATATGCCACTAACTGAAAATAATCTTGATACGCACTATAACGGGGATTTGTATGCGCCTTCGCGATTTTCCCGTTAAACAAGGAAGAGGGAGGGCGTGCGAATAATCTTTCGGCGACGAGCAGCGAGTTGCGGGCTCCTTGAGGGCTGTCCGAAGCCCGGCCTGATAGCGCAGTTTCTGCCGCCTACTCGGCGCCAAGGCCAATGGGCCCGCGGTGGCGTCGTGAATACGACCGGGGCCGCGTACGACAGGGCACGTGTGCTCGCTCGGAAGGTCGCTCTCTGTTCTGCCGGCTTTTCGGCCGGTTGGCGCTTTCTCGCGCCCTCGCGCGTGCCGCGGGATGTCGCGATGCGTGATTGGCCAATGACGCACGTAGCTCTTTCTCTCTCCCTTTCTTCCTCGCGGGCTTCTTAGATCGCGCTCTCTGTCCCACTTTTGCCCAGTCCGTCTGCCCTGTCCGTATCGCGGCGGGATACGGCCTACCCACCGACGAACAAGGCTACACGACCTGGCCAGTTGGGGACCCGAGGACGCCTACGCCTGAGCGTGCGGAAAACCCCGCTGGTCAGACACCTCCCGCTCCATCTGATCTCCAGGTCGTATCATACGACCCCCGCCAGCGAGGCCTTGACGCTACTCGGCCACCTCCTCCGACCCTCCGTGAGCAGTGGGAAGCGCTGAGGCAGACTGCCATCCAATGCCACAACGCGCGAACCGCCGCGGCGCGCGCCGAAGACGAAGCCCACGACCAGGTGATGCGCTTCGTCGATCACCATAGCCCGCTCGGCGCCTACTACGCGGGCGACTTCCTGGAGACGGTGGAGGAGGCGATGGAGATCCTGGAGAGACAACGGCTGGTGGGCGCGAACGCCAGCGGCCTCATTCTTCTTGTCTCCTGTGACAAGTTCAACGGTCCTATCAATGAAAAGGTTGGCAATTGAGAGTGCATATAGGAAGAGCAAAGCAGAAAGAGGAAAGCAGCAAGCAGGAAGTGATAAAACGGTAAGCAGGGATAGGACTTGTTCCGCACTAGGCCGGGTTCCTCGTACGCAATCGTCGCGGGGAGGCCGCGACCGTTGCTGGTATCGCTTTCTTGGAGCTCCGAGGGCGGCCCCGCCTCCCTGGCGCCACGGTCGCGGTTGCGGGCGGCACGACCGTAGCCGAGGAAATTGGAGGCGTCGGCGGCGCGCCTCCACTTTCGTCTCCGTCAGGCGCTAGGAGGTCGTCGCTTAGTTTTAGAAACTGAACCTCGTTGTGACACAGGCGGAGGTGCTCCATGTCTACCAGACTGATGTCGATGCTATCTTCGGTCTGAAGTTGTTATCCTTTCGCTCCGTGCCGACGTGTCACGACGAAAGGGCCCGCGAACTTTGGGCTAAGCTTAGCCGCTATCTTCAGGGCGGCCGAGGAGAGGATTCGGTTTTTCGCCCAAACTTTATCGCCGACGTCGTAGCTAACGTCGCGGTGTTTGGCGTTGTAGTACCTTTCTTGTCTGCCTTGAGCGGCACTTGTGTTTTGGAGGGCGACTGCGCGGACTCTGCCCAGCTTGTCCATTCGGGCGCGCCAGTCTTCGACGGCTACGACTTCGAGATCTCGGGTGGTCGCGCGCTCTTCCTCCCGGCGCGTAGAATGCGGCGGCTCTGAGTTGCGTCCGTAATTCAAGAAGGCCGGGCTGGAGCGCGTGGCCTCGTGGATAGCTGTGTTGTAAGCGAAGGCGAACTCGCTAATGTGGACATCCCAGGTGGTATGCTTCCCCGATGAAGGCCGCTATCATGGTCTTGATAGTCCGATTCACTCTCTCGGTGGGATTGCTTTTGGGGTTATAAGGAATACATGTTGCGTGTATCACTCCTTGGGATTCGAGAAAGTCATCTACAAGCGTGTTTTTGAATGGCGAGCCGTTGTCCGACAGGAACTTGTCGGGTGCGCCGAAGCGCAAAAAGACGCGTTCGTTTAGCTCACGCTTTATCGTTTTTGCGTTAGCTTTCCTCACCGGGATGCACTTGATCCACCGGGTGAACAGATCGAGAAAAATCAGGAGATGCTCGTGTCCTTGAGTCGACCTCGAGAATGGTCCCATCAAGTCACCGGAAACTACCTCCCATGAGCGGGAGACGATGTGCCTGCCCATTAGACCTGCGGGGGCTTTTTGCTCGACCTTGGTTTGTTGGCAAATCTGGCAGTTGCGTACATAGCGCGCGATGTCATTGTACATTGCCGGCCAGTAGTAGCGCAGGACCGCGCGTTCGTGAGTCTTGAGGTGGCCGAGGTGGCCAACTGTGGGCTCCTCGTGGCACTCGCGCAGCACTTGGCCTCGTAGTTCACGCGGCACAATGAGCTTCCACGCATCGTCGTCACCGCCGAGTAAACCATTCACGACCGGATTGGGCCGATAAGTGTACAGGCGTCCACCCACTAGTTTCCAGTAGGGGTGCGCTCTTGGGTCCTTTAGGACTAGCTGGGCTTTCTTGAGGTACCACCGGTCTTTTGTACTCGTGCCGATCCTAAGCGAGGCGAGCGCGGCGGCCTCGTCCTCGTCGGTTTCGAACATGCGTGAGAGTACATCCGGAACGACATTCTCGCTTCCCTTGCGATGTACGATATCGAAATCGTACGACTGCAGCCTCAAGCTCCAGCGGCCAAATTTTCCGTTCGGGTGTTATAAATTTCTAAGCCATATCAGGCTGTGGTGATCTGTCACCACGGTGAAATGATACCCCTCGATGAACGGGCGGTATTTGTCGATCGACCAGATCACAGCAAGGCATTCTCTCTCCGTGACTGACAGCCTTCGCTCAGCTGGGGTGAGAATGCGACTTGCGTAGCAGAGCACTCGGTTCTCACCGTCGAGGTGCTGCAACAACACGCTGCCTAGGCCGGTATCACTCGCGTCGCATTCAACTACGAATGGGGCGTCGAAGTCCGGCCGCGCGAGCACGGGAGCGCTCGCGAGCAGACCTTTAATGTGCTCGAATGCGGTCTGTTGCTCCTCGCCCCACTCATACCTCACGTTTTTGCGAGTGAGCGCGGTGAGAGGCTCGCTTATGGCGGCATAATCTTTCAAGAACTTCCTGTACTACGACGCCATGCCCAAGAATCTGCGCAGCTGCTTCAAGTTCTTGGGCGCCGGGTACTCCAAGATGGGCCGGACCCGCTCGAGATCCGGCCTAGTGCCGTCGCGGTTCACCAGCAAGCCCAGGTACCTAACCTCAGGCATGCAGATTTCTGACTTTTGGAGGTTCACCGTAAGGCCAGCCTCCTTTACCCTTTTGAGAATTCACTCAAGCCACTTGACGTGATCCTCGAACGTATCAGTCGCGATGATCAAGTCATCCATGTAGGCGAAAGCGCACAGCTCCATTTCAGGCGGGATGAGTTTATCTGCCAATGTCTGAAATGTCGCCGGTGCGTCCGCAAGTCCAAAGGGCATTCGGACGAATTCGAATAGGCCCATTCCCGGAACCGTAAACGCTTAGATCGGACACGATCGCTCCGTAAGAGGGACGTTTCAGAAAGCCCATGATAAATCGATGGCGCTCACATATCGGGCGTGCTGTATCTTGCGCAAAATTGCATCCATATAGGGCAATGGATAAGCGCACACGCGCGTCACAGCGTTGACTTTCCTGTAGTCGACGTAGAATCGGTACGAGCCGTCTTGTTTTTTCGTCATCACGACGG